ATAACTTATGTTACCCCATTATCCTTATCTATGTTAGCCACATGGCTCAGTACCTTTTCCAGTGGGGCAGCTTACATCTTTCCTCTCCTGTGGTCTGGGCAGAACTGTGGAGGGAGCTTCCTGCTTCCCAGAATACTCCCAGTCTCTTTGCTCCACCTCTACTTCCTGTCTGGCTTTCCCGCCTATACTGCCTGCCTGGCCAATCAGCGTTTTATTAAAATACATGATTGACAGAATACAGATAATTCTCCCGCACCAGGACCCCCTTCAAGGTACATGAAGTTCAATTCCTTCTTCTGTAAAGTGAAGGAACTTTATACTTAAAATATGAATATTCTATGAACTCATAACTTTTCCAGTTGAAAAGTACATTTCAAAACTATCTCCCAGGGTTCAGTGAGAGGGCTTGGTATTTGCTCCCAAGCCTGACCACCGGAGTTTGATCCCCAAGACACATATGGTGGGAGGAGCCAACTAGAACTGACCTTTGCAGCACACCACACATCCAAAATTGTTTTTAAGAAAATCCGCCTTTCTCCCATCTTCAGGCCATACGTCTCCTTTACTCCAGCCATCATTTCCTTTGCCTTGCAGATGCTTTTTAACGCCATTGAACCCCTTTTGTCAATTCTTGCTATTTTGTCCTGGGTTATTGAAAACCTTTTCTGGAAACCATTGCCTGTGTGTGTATCTTGAAGTGTTTTCCATATGATTTTTTTCTAGCATGCTGATCTTTCATCATTCATTAAGGACTTTGACAGTTTGAATTGATTTTTATAGACTATAGAAAGGGTCTAGTTTCAGTCTTCTACATGCGGCTAGCTAGGCTTCATAGACCCATTTGTGGAGGAGGTATCTTCTGTCTAGTTTATGCTTTGGGTACCATTGTCAAGAATTGGAGTTTATTTCCGAGTCCTCTAATGTGGTCTCCGTGACTGTTTCTGTGACTGTACAATATTGGTTTGTTACTGTGGCTTCCTATCCAAGCCCTCTGATGTGGTCTCCGTGACTGTCTCTGTGACTGTACAATATTGGTTTGTTACTATGGCTTCCTAAATCAGATATCATGCTCCTTCCAGCACTGCTCCTTTTGCTCGGAACTGCTTTGGCTATTCAGAGTCTTTTGTACTTCTACTTGAATTTCATGTTTCTTTTTTCTAGTTCTGTGAAGAATGTTTCTGGAATTTTGATGGTATTTGATATAATTTGATATGAACTCAAAAAGTTAAGCACTGAAACATAAATTTAAAAAATCTGTTTTCAGCAAAAAGAAAAATAATCAGTACATGAGCAAGTGAATTAAAAAAACAATTCTCAAAAGAAGTACAAGTAGCCAATAAATTCATGGTAGGGGAAACACCTCAATTCCTTGATTGTAAAAGAAATCAAATTAAAACCACACCAAGATTCCATCTTAGTCCAGACAGAATGACTACCATTAAGAAAACAAAAATGTTTTCAAAGATTGCAAGGGTAAACAGAACCTGATATCAGTACTATGGAAACAATGTAGAAATTCCACAAAAACTAAACATAAAGTCAAGTAATATGGCTCAGCAGTTGTCGTGTGTTTGATGACCAGAGTTCCATCCCTAGGACCCACCTAAAGGTGTAAAGAAAAACCCGTGTTCCACTAAAGTTTTCCTTTTACCTTTGAACCTGTTCCATGTCCTACATTCCTTCCCCTCACAAATCATACACACACAACATTAACTTTTTTTGAACCAAGAATGTGGCTACAGCATATATACTCCTGAGTATATGCAGAGGACTCAGAATTAGCATACAGTAGAAATATCTGCACATTCATGTCTATTGCACCACTATAATAGCTAAACTATAAAATCAGCTTAGAGGCCCACTGGTGTATAAATGGGTAAAGAAAATGTGTATTTGTATATTTGTGGGGGATTCTTTAACCACAAAAAAATTAAATTGTCATCTCCAGGAAAGTAGATATGGAACAATAGATATGAATCACTTTTAGTGAGATCAGCTAGACTCCGAAGGACCAGATTTTTGTGGTGAGGGGGTTAATATGGCCAAAGTACTTTGTGTAGGTGTTTGAACATGTCATGACAAAAACCATCACTTTGTGCAAATAATGTGCACTAATATTGTTAATCTTATCCTAAAAATTATTTTTAACATGTTTTAATTGGCACAGAATTATGCCAGTTTTCTGCCTCCCTTTCCTCACTTTAGCTCCTTCAAGTGCCTGCCTTCCAACCCCTCCCATGTCTCCCATTTTTCGAGCTGACAGTGTTTTTTCGTTTTATTATTATTGTCAAATACATATATGTGTGTATGTGTGTATATGCACAAATATATAAATATAACATATATGTGTGTATGTGTGTATATGCACAAATATATAAATATAACTTGCTGAGTCTGTTTTTGTTGTTTGTGTATATGTGGTTTCAGGTGCTCATCCCTGAGGGGGCTAATTTTCCTTCTCCCAGCAGACATTAGTAACATTTTAAAGGCAGCTAGAGAGAGGTCCTGAATGCATGCTACTCTTCCAGAGGGAACCTAAGTTCCTCCTCAGATGGTTCCTAATCACCGGTAACTTCAACTCCATGGGACTCTAATGCCTCTGTCCTCTGCGGACACCAGCACGGGTGTGCATTCCCCTGCCCCTCCCAAAATACATATTTAAAGTAATAATCATGTTTTAAAAATAAAATACATTTTAAGAACTTAACTTTCCCCTTGAGGAAAAAATATTAATTGAGTTACTTTGCTCATTACCAGAAAAATACAATTATTTTTATTACTTTTGTTTAGTTATAATCAAAATACTCGAAAGAACAACTTAAAGGATTTAGTCTAGTTCACTGTTTCAGAGGGTTCAGTCCATGGTCACTTGGCCCTATGCACCTGTGAAAGACACCATGACAAAGGAAGTATATAGAATTTCTTTGACTTAATGGCAGACACAAACCAGAGAGAGGAATCTTCAAAGACACATACCGTCAGCCCCACTACATACAGCTAGGCCCATGTTCAGTAAAGTTGTCACATCTTCCAAAATAGCACCACCAGTTGTGGGTTAAGCACTTGACACACGAGCTTTGGGAACCATATCTTATTTTAGCTATATATATAAAAAAATCCTTGTATGATATCATTTACTAAAACTGTGTAAAAGCCTAGGCACTGTGTAAACTGATTAAAATGAAAGATGAACGAGACAAAGTTCTATGTCTAAAGAGTTTATCATCTGTTGAGAGAGGTATCTGGGTAAATCAATAAGTGCAATATAGTTCATTAAGTGCTGTGATATAAGTAAGAGTTGAGAACAAAAATTCTCAGACCTAGCTGGGTGTGGTAGCTTATAGTTTTTTGTTTTTAGTTTTTTGGGACAGGGTTTCTCTGTGACTTTGGAGCCTGTCCTAGAACTCACTCTTATAGACTAGACTGGTTTCGAACTCACAGAGATCCTCCTGTCTCTGCCTCCTGAGTGCTAGGATTAAAGGCGTGCGCCACCACGGCACAGCAGTGGCATGCTTTTTTAGTCCCAGCATTCAGGAGGCAGAGGCCAACAGATCTCTTGAACAGAGTTCAAGGCCAACTGGTCTACTTGGTGAGTTTCGGGAGAGCCAAGGCTACATACTCAAAAACAAAAACAGAACCCAAACCTGAATGAACATTAGAATTTTCTGAGGACCGCAATAAAAATTGCATATGTTTTGCCTTATTTCTCAAAGACCTAGGGAGTGACCATGTGCTATGCTGTTTTTCAGAGCCTAACAGGGAGATCCCAATACACAGTAAGGATTAAAAGTCACTGGGGTAGAAAAAGATAACAAACTTAGTTCTTAAGAAAAATGGGAGCTAGCCTAGAGCTGCTTACCTTTATTTTAAGCACTCCAGAGTCTGAGGCAGGAGAATCTCTGTGAGTTTGAGGTCAGCCTGGTTTACATAGTTCCAGGAGAGCCACGGCTACTAAGCCAGACCCTATCTCTAAATAAATAAATAAATGAAATAAAAAGAAAGAAAGAAAATAAAAAGTAGAGATAGTTCTGTAGATAAAACACTTGTGCACACAGAGACCCCGATGTTCCAAGAACCCATGTAGAGCCAGATGTGGTAGTGTGTATCTCTGTTCCCAGCATTCCCACAGTAAAATGGGAAGTGGAGACAGGAGAATTGCCCAGAAGCTCTCACACCAGTGAGCCTTGTCCCTGCATCAGTGATGAATAACACAGCCTGTCTCAAACAAGGTGGAAGGCTGACCTCTGACCTCTACATGTACACCACAGCACATATGCACACTCACATGGAGATGAAAGAAAAATGGGCAATTGTCAAGAAAACCAGGAGAAAAGTGCCTTTCATCTTTGTCCCTAGAATTCATGATCCATCGAGGGAGCTGCAAGCAGTTCTGTAGAGCTTGCTATACAGGCTTGTGAGGAACAGGGATACTGTGAAAGGTGAGACTGGAGAGCTAGGCAGGAGGCAGAGCAGCTATTGTCTGGGAAGGATTTGGACTTCATAATAAAAGTGGTGGGGAGTGACGCGATCTCATTTCTCTTGTAGAAAAAAAAATAGTTTCTGTGGTATTGTGAAGGATGGATTAGAGAGCCTGGAATCAGGAAAGCCAGTTCATAGACTATGATAACTCAGGCAGAAAAGGAGGTCTAAACTAAAAATATAATACCAGAGAGTACAAGATATTCAAGGACTAGGTAACAAGGAAACAGAACCCACAAAGCAATATGATGTGAGAAAGTAAGAGCCATAGAGGATATAGTTTCTTATTTTTCACCTAAAGATTACTTGTTGGCAATGAATTAAATATGTCAGGGGTAGAAAATGTCTTTCTGTGAACTTAACTATAACCAATGTGATTTGAATCCAGTTATTTTATCCAAAATTTACCAACATAATTAGAGGCTATTTACAATACCTAAATGACTGAAGTTCCAACGTGCTTAGGGACAGAAGTGCAGCATTTCTCCCCCCAGATTGGCGGTAGACTGGGAAAACATATATAAAATAAAGGTTTGAGAGATTTTAATGCACAGAAATGGCTGGACCTAGTAGTCTTTAACTCTGTCCAAAGCAAATGAAGTGAAAGTCTTCTAATCCTTCAGAACTTCATCTGGCATTGACCTCAGAAAAAAGAGCCTCTCTCCTGCATCATCAGACTGACTTTCTCTAGTTCCTTCTTCTTGCTCTGTATAGTTCTTTGATCCTGGGATTCTCTTTAAAATAGAAGGAGAAGAACAAGAGGAGAAAAGCTAAAATGAGTGGGTTTTTTTTTGCAAATCTAAACAATAATAAATTACTTTGCATTTTAAATGCATTGCAAAGCTGGAGTTGCTGCCCATGATCTAGCTCTTGGCTGCCATGCACAAGGCCATGGTTGGATCATCAGCATGGCAAAAGTAGATCAATAAATGTATAAACAAAGAAATGTACTGCAAAAATCTATATCCATTATCCAAGTCTTTTAAAATTGGAAATGTGTGTTTTTTTTTTTAAAGAAAAACTGTTCTCTCACCATGTTGGGCTCATTTCTGTCAGTTGCTGCTCTCTCTATAGTTGTACCCATTTTACCTGAAGGAAAACATTTGGAAAACGAGGGCTATTCATATTCATCATGGCATTACTTAATTGTATAACTATAGAAGTAATGATAGCATTGATAGGAATTTTCAAGTTGTTTTATAAAATAACAGTATTTTAAAGTTGGGGTGGTAGGCCTTTTTTCTATAAAAAACTTATGTTCTATGGTGGAAAAACTCATTTGAGAATTACATGTAAATAAAAACTGAGAGTCTACAGAAATGAACCTCTAACATTTTAAAGAAGTGGGATAAACCAAGTCCATGCATATAAATACACACTATGATAGCCCAGACATATATTCCAAAGAACAAACAAAATATGAAGGTGAGGTTTCAGAAACAGAAAGAAGAGCAGGGAGAATGAGAGATACAGGATGAAATGGGGGGCAAGAAAAGAGAATTGTAGGGTACTTCACAGTAAACATGTCAGGGTTAGGTCTAAACTAGAGGAACCCTGTTAAATTTGAATTTCAGTATTCACCAGTAATTTTTAGTACACATTCCATGCAAAATTTGAGACACTGATAATAATTATTCATTGCTTAGCTGAAGTTCAAATCTGTCTCTTAAAAAAAATGAAAACATCTTGCTCCTTTCCTGAGCAGGTTGAGTCACTGTCACCCATTAAAACTGTCTTCATAATGCTACAGTTTACTTTTTAAAGTTTTTCCTAAAGTCATAGTTAAAAAAACTGACTTTATTCTTCCTGTCTGAAGTTCTGTAAAATTTTATGGAAAACAAAAGAAATTACAAATTAGTTTCATCACTTTTAATACCACAAATACAACTTTAATGTTTAGAAGGTTCGGGTTGCCTCAAAGCTTATAGAATATTTAAGTGCAATACTTTTTTTCTTGTGAAAGATCTAGATTGAGTCAGTTGTGGTTTCTGCCTCTGCCTCCCGAAGTTTTAGCCACCAGGATGAGAAATTAATGAAGTGAGGTAAAGGTAAAAGGTGAGAGGAGGAACTTGCTTTCAGAACAGAGGGTCAGCGAGTAAATAAGTTCTCAGGCACATTCATTTTCCACTTCACTGGGCTTCCATGTCAGTTTACAAATGTAGCACAGTATCTACACAGCCTGCAGGTTCTCCTAAGGAGAGCCTCGATTCTCAGAAAGCTCGAAGAAATGCTAAGAGCCTGGGCTGTGGGAGAAAAGACCGTCACAATCAAATAGTTTATCACAGCTATGTTATCGCTGAAGACAAATCCTTAGTTCTTTAAACACCAGCGGGTGTGATAGGAAGTTCATCTGAATTTGTGGATTGCTTAGTGCCTGTACTTTCTAAGATAGGTGAAGAGCAAAGGCCACAAACTGCAGTTTCCAGATAGTTCGAGTCAGGCTGTAAGGGCAGACACAAACCCTGAGCCAAATTATAAGAAGCAAACTCCTTCACTTGTGACCTGTCTGGGGAGGGGATGGGGGAAGGAAAGACTGATCCCTGAGTGAAAACAACAGAAACATTTTCTTGGAGAAGATCAGATGAAGCCCAGGGATAAGACTTAGATGATGCTGAGTCCCAGTCTTCGTGGAATTCCCCAAATAGGGATTGCTTGAACTGTAACAAAGTTTCTAGTATATGCCAAAAGGCACCATTAACTCAGCCAGGCTGCACATTGAACAGTGGAGGAGGGATTCTTGGCCAAGACCATTGGAGCCAAACTTCCTTCTACTTGGAAATATCTGAAAAGGAAGGGCCTGTGCTTGCCTGCATAGCCTAGGAGGTATGTCCAAAATGACACGCCACTCTTCCTCTATGACAAGTTTAAGCAATTCAATTCTTTTGAAACCAGAGGAACCAGAACACCATCCAAAAGGACTATTAAGTACTTAACCTTCAAATAGTCCTTGTGTAATAGCCCAACCCATTTTTACTTCATTGCCCTAATTGCCTGATTTATTTGTAGCAGAGAGAAAAAGTGTTCGACAAGAATTATGGAGGAAATAGGCAATTGCTTTTGTTTTTTTCTTTGGAATGGGGTGAACTATAGTTCAGGGAGGAGAATAATAGTTAAGACTTGTACAACAGAACACCGAGTTTAATGTTTAATCAAGGCTGCCAGTAATACATCTTGGTGCCACATAGCATGGCACAAAACATCAATAGGTTCTTTTCTTCGTTTTTCATTTGGTATATAAATGTGGCACATTTTGTCCTAAGGGTGATAGAAAGCCAGTCTCTTAACAACATTTCACATTTCCTGAATTACCATTTATTATGGACTTGGCTTAGATGTGGTTGGTGCCACCTACCGGACTAAATATATAATTACAGGCCTCCCAACCCATTTGTAAACACTCTCTAAAAACAGCCTTAGGGAATATTCATTCCTTCCTTGGGAGGATGCTACTATGAATAGCTAAGTTTGGATTCCCATCACAGTTTTCAGGACTGGAAGAGGCATAATAAATCGAACTTCAACATTGCCATTGTATTGTTCAGTCCAGAATCCCAGCTTTACCTAGGGACACAGAAGCCTGACTTCCTTACAGAGTCATTATAAAGGGTTACACAAAGTGAGAAGCTTTAAATGTGCCCTGTTACATGTGATGGCTGTAAATATTAGATACATAAAAATTGAACTCAACTTGCCCATGTTGTGTAAGAGCTACAACACATATATCTGTCTGACCCTAGAGCCATGGCTTTTTCCATTAAATTAAATCTTTTCTAAGTTTGGTAGTGAAATAATTTTAGGTGACACCTGTAATAAATTTAAGAGGTTTTATAGCATGGCTTTAAATCCTGTAATTCACAGTGGGGAAGGTTTTTGTTTTGTTTTGTTTTGTTTTGTTTTTAAACAAACTCTCGCCCCAGGCTGGCCTTGCCCTTTTGGGCGTGACGCCTTGCATCCTACATACTGGGATTATAAACAGGTGTGTCTGCACCTGGCTCACTTATTTCCTTCCCAATGCACCAAGGAGAAAGTTTAAAATTGGTCCTGGTTTCTTTAAAATGAACTGTCTTGTTAATTTTATTTTCCAATAATGATAAAACAGGTTCCAGTCTTGACCATCTCTCTAGAATTAATTTTTGTTTCATTATTATTAAATTTACTTGTGAAAACGACATTGTTTTGTCATTTAGTGACACAAATTTTGTGCCTGTTCATGGAAGCTCCCACCTGTAATACTGGCTCTTAGGAGGCTGACGTAGAAGGACCACTATGACGCTGAGGTCAGCATGGGCTACCTAGTAATTTCCAGGCCAGCTAGGGCTACAGAGTGACATCCTGTTTTGTTTCTTTTTGAACTTTTCTTTTTTCAAGAAATGCATGTATGAAAATGAAATCAACCTGAGTAGCAAAATTGAAGAAATAATAAGCCACAGTGTAAAGAAGTCGAGAAACAGTAACGCTACCACTTACTTTCCCACCCTTGATAATGATACAATTAACAATTCTGTCATTGTCTGTTTGTTTTCTGTTGTTGTGAGAACCATTCTAATCAAAAGCAACTTGGGGAAGGAAGGGTTTAGTTGGCTGACAAGTCCCAACCCCAGGGCATCATGAAGGGAAGTCAGGACAGGAGTTTAAGGCAAGAACTTGGAGTTGGGGATGAAAGCAGAGACCATGGAAGGCTGTTGCTTACTGGCTCGCACAGCCCACTTTCTGATACAACCTAAGACTCTCTATCCATGGGCAGCGCTATCCCAAATCAATAATCAAGGCCCTAAAAGACTTGTCTACAGGCCAATGTGATGGAGACATTTTTCTCAGTTGACGTTTTCTTCTCCCAGATGACCCTAGCTTGTGTCAAGTTAACAAAAACCCAATCACCATAAGAACTAGCACTTCTGGGTTTCTTCTAATAGAAACAGAGATTATAAATAAGTCAACATAACCAAAAATCTATGATTGTTAGATTTCGGATCCATTTCAGCTCAAACTGAAGGATTCTGAATATGTGTAGACATCTAGTCTCTGCTCAGTGAATACGTAGTAAATCTTGGGACTGCCGGATGGATCCTGCCTGTGGATCTAGTGACAGAGCACTGTAGAACCCTATCACTTCATTTGTTAGACGTGAAAGAGAAGAGAAAGTACGGATCTGTGGGCTGCCCCAGTTCAAATTGATCGTGCGTTCTGTGAATGTGTAGAGGAGTTTCCTGAGGCACGCAGCTTCAGTGGAATCACTAATGGAAGATTGACTTATATCTGAAATTTAAAGAACTGCTTCCTTACTATGTGGATCCCTTGAGATGATCTTTGGCTAATTTTCAATGACATAAAAACACAGCTGTCTGTTTTTCTCATACTTCTTCTTGGTCTTTTGAAATTTCCATATTAATGACTTACTGCCTCCAAGCTTTTTTTCCCCCCAACTTCCTGCTGTCCAGTTCTTCTCAAAATATAAGTAGAAAGAAAAGAAGTGTGGAACTCTGCCTGGGGACATGTAGTCCATCCAGTTTTCTAGGTTTTCCAAATTTTACCTGTTGAAGAAGATAAAATGCTGTGTGCCTGAACCAACTTGCTGTATTCTATTAAAAATTTTCACAATAATGACTTGTTAGCTATTGCGTCAAGGAGCAGATAAGACACAGTCTAGGGATTTAGATTCTGGATTCATGGAAATATTATTAAGGATATTGACAACCGACATTTTATAGGAAGTCTTGTCCTCTTTGTGAAGGCCTGTGGGAGATAATTGCTCTCAGGTCTCAGTACCGTGAAAATCTGTATTTGTCCTAATCAACTGGTTTGCTGTCACTCCATGAACACTGACAATCATGTTTTCTGGCAAATTCAGAAACAAATTTATAACCTACCTCCACTAACTAAATAGCATTTCTATCCTACATTATCATGTTCTGGCAGAACTTATCTTCCCTTTCCTTTGACTTGCTCATCTATTTATTTAATCATATATGTTGTGTGTTATTTTTATAAGACATTCAAGTCCTTTATGGACTAAGATTGAGAAGAAATTAGATACATACATACATACATACAGACATACAGACAGACAGATATTGGAAAAGCAAAAGCATTGCCACCCTTGGGATAGGATTTCTCATGCATGTCTCTTCTTAAAAATAAGATTTCAGATTAATAGATCCTTGAAAATTTAGGGATCTTTTCCCTACCTATCATAGCCATTATTTTACCTTTTATGAAATATTATGATTTCCAGTGATATCATAACATTTTTAAGGGAAATCACTGTCATTCCCAGAAACACATCTGAATTAGTGAACTCGGAATTTTTGTCTACTGTTTCCTACACCTTTGCTTTGAAGTAGCAGTATATCCAATATGACTTACGAGACCAGTTCTGGTTCTTAGGATAGGGGTAAAGGTGAAAGAAACTAAGTATTTCTGAATGTCAACAGTTATTGTCTACATATACTAAGGATATGATATATTTATCTTTATAAAGGAAAGTTTAATTTCTTCCACAGAGACTCCTTATGTTAATACAATAGCTACTGAATACTGCTATTAATGATGATTGTGAAAAAAATGTTTCCACACATTTAACTTACACTGTGTTCCAGGCACAGAGATGATCACCTTAATAATGGGACCTTCGGTGTAACAGAAAAAGACAAACCCTCCAGCTATGTACCTCTGATACTCCACTGATCTTGAGGCCTTGGACGATTCAAAGCTCCTTGCTTTGGCTCAAAATTATGCTGTAGGTACAGTGATAATTTTAAGTCATTGGCCTTCTGATAGTTCCTTAAGGCTTCAATTCTCAGCTCAATCACTTTGCCATGAGAGCCATTCTGAAAGAGGATGTTTTTCAATACATTCACATAATACTGACTTTTCTAAATTTACTACTACCTGTGTTTTGTTATACAGATGTTGGAAAAACAAAGCCCCCGTGTTTTGTCTTTTATTTATTTATTTGTTTATTTTTGGTTTTTCCAGACAGGGTTTCTCAGTAGCTATGGAGCCAGTCCTGGAAATCACTCTGTAGACCAGGCTAGCCTTAAATTTACAGAGATCCACCTACCTCTGCCTCCCGAGTGCTGGGATTAAAGGCGTGCATCACCACCACCTGTCATGTTTCGCCTTTTAAAGTTAGGAAGATGGTATTTGTTATTGTCCCCCAATTTCAAATAGTACAAAACTAAAAACATGGGAAGAAGTATTAATTATTCAAGGTAAATCCAGAGATAGGTGACTTCAGTTTTCACCCACAATCCAGTTCTTTTAATATGCAATGGAGGATGTGAGAATTGGCCTTAACAACCTAAAGTTAAAAGCTTTTACATTGTCTGAATAAATATATTCTATGTTCAGCCTTGGAAAAGCTTAGTACCTGAAGGATGTTAGGTTGTTCCTCATATTTGACTCATTTCATTTTCTTCTGTTGCTTTTCCTGGTGGAAGAAAGACCTTCTGGGTGGCAAAGTAAATTGAGATAAAAATCAGTTTCTCAATCTCCTGCAACAATTTATAACAAAATTATAGTATTATAGGTTGACTGTTAGACTGGCTTTTATTTCACAGTCTTCTTAATTTACCTCCCCATGTAATGCATACCCTAAAAGCTAAGAGAGTTCATTTTCTGTGAATGATTTGTTTTGGGAAGATGAAATGCAAGTGTAATATCTCTAAATAAATTTCCACAATAAATTAACAAGTGTTCTGTGTGCATGGAATTGCCATTGTTGGTAAGGGTTTTCTCATTTTAGGATAGTTAACATGATTTTGCAGACACCTATGGTGCTGTCTAACATAAATAGTATACCAAAGATACTACATTGCTTCTAAAGTTTGCATCAATTTAGGAGCACATCACACTTTAAGAAGATTATTAATTTATCAGTTGCAAAAGCCACTGTTGTGCAGAGTGGTTGTGTGCCTGCCCTCCTTATCTCCTCCACCGTTTCTGCTTCTGATATCTCTGGTTCACTCCTGTCCTTCCTAAGTGATTTGGGGATTCCAGAGCCTGATAGAAAATGCGAGAGCTAAAGGGATAGGCGATTCCAGATGGGAAAATGAAGAGTCGTGGCAGACTAGAAATCAAATATACCCTAAAAGCCCCAATTCCCCAAATTCCCGCTGATTGTTAGAGCAGTTCCAGCTGTATGGCATCAATGACTCTAATACCCTCAGTCCACTCACCTTTCCGTCTTTCACTTCTGCCTTGGGCTTCGTCAGGAGCGTTTCCTGTTGTCCATGGAGCTCTTCTGCCTCACATGTCTGTGGAGAGACATTTTGGCAAAGCTGTAAATTAGTGGTAATTATGAAGCCAAGGTTTTTGGTTCCTGCCAGTCAGCAACTTCTCAGGGCTCAAAATGAAAATTATATACCTACCACAAGGGATTAAAATGATTCCTTAATGGTCCTTATAATAATAACAACTATTAAGTGAATCCATATAATATACCACTGACAGCTAAGCTTCTCACCTCATTCCTTACTTTTGCTACTACATTACAGTCCTTGTTTCATCTTCGCAACTCTGGGAACTATTTTTGTTTCCATTTAATCATTGATGAAATTGAGACTTTGAAAGGTTAAGCCACTTGTTAATTGTCATACAGCTAGCGAAGTACATGGAGCTAGAGTTAAAACCAAATCATTTTAGCAATTGTTAACAATTTGAAATGTGGAAAAAAAGTTTAATAAAATATATGTCACAAGTTAAGAAAGAAAGAGAAAGGGGAAGACTTTTAAGAGAGGAGGCTGGTCAGGGAGGGCTGTAAAGGATTTACATCTGGCGACTAAAACACTTTCAGTGTTTTTAAAAGATCACTTTGTTGTGCAAATAGAGCATGGCTGGAGGCAGAGACGTGACAAACTAAGGATGAGGGGCCGGAGGAATGAGAGGTCCTGTGCATTATCTGTAGGACAATACTTTTGAGAGATCCTTAGGGGCACACCTTGTTCCACAGCATCTCCATTTCCTTCCGAAGCATCTTGTTTTTCTTTTCCTATTAGAAGAGGAAGAACCAAACAAACAAATGTGTTTGTCTGACTGTTAACTAACATTAGAAAAAAAACAGCTGTTTAATCAAAGGGATTTGTGAACACGGTAAACCACAGAGGAAGACAGTAAATGAACCTAGCATTTCATACAGAAACATAAAAGATGATTTTGATGATGATGATGATGGTAGTGGTGGTGGTTAAGAAATTATTTCAAGCAATAACTTTTTATGGTGGTTGTGAGATGTATCAGAAATAAATTCTTAACGCTTAAGATGCTTTTATATGACAGTCATCTCAGTGCTTAGAGCATTAACTTCTAATTTTTAAAGATCCTTTATACATTGACTTCAAAAAGATCCAAGACACTTTCAAAACAAGCTTTTTTCTTTTAATTTGATAGGTATGTCTAACCCTTTAGAAATGAAAAGTATTAATATGCTTATATTCATTAACCACTAGGTGAAACTTTCTTTTTTAGGTCAAAAAAGTAGACTCTTGCTAGCTAGCTCCTGCTATTTCCAACATCCAGCCTGATTTTCTTAGCATCTCCTTGGATTCCCTAGATTGAAGAGATACATGGTTGAAGCATCAGAGGCTAGAGATGAGCATCTGCTATTTCTGTGTGTGACAAGGGTGGCTCAAGCAGCTATGCCCTGTGGTATCTACTGCCAACATCTCACCAGGTTCTGTTTCATCTCCTCTGCTTCCTTAATCAGCGCCATGACTGAAGATTCATCATATCCCCTCCCTTCCATGATCTGCCTCATGATCTGCAGACTAGAAGAAAAGATAGAAATCATATCCATGCCCTTTAAAACATAAAACTAATATCTGAAATCAGACAGGAAGTAGTCTTCCATGGAGGTTCAGTGGGGGCTAAAATCCTAGGAATTAGAGAGATCCTTAACATTGAAAGTCTCTGTCACTAGCATGATTCCATTCCTAATTGACATTAGGTATAGTTATGTGATCAGTAGTGAATTCTGTGCTCTTTAATAGTCAAATGTAGGTCTTCGACAATCACTGAAAGTACTTTCCGCCCTTTGAAAAGAATGTTTTAGTGTTTGATTTGAGGGAAGGAGTGTTTGGACCTCTGTATAGAAGGAATTGAAAACCTTGACGTCTTTCAAATTAATTCCAGAATTATTCCCCATCTCACAGATAAGGTAGCTCCACTTCCTTCTACTGCTGTGAGTATCCAGCTCTGATTCAGTATCAAGTCTGACTATGAGAAGGATACTTTAGGCAATCATTAATTTATGTTTGTGTTATTGTCCTTTTTTCTCTCTGGATCTGAGTAGAATTTAAGGTGTAACATGCTCTTGCCCTAAGAGAAGTCTATATTGCTTATTTGCTAACAGTTGGTATTTGACCACTTCTTGCTGATTTTTGTTCTCCTGAAGTCTGAGTTTCTTAAGGGCTTCTGATAATGGTATAGAAAGAAGACAGATCAACTGAAATGGTATTTTCTATGATTAGAAAGGAAACAGAGACTTAGTAGTTCCTAAGAACAATGGCTATTCTAACAAAGATTTAAGTTCTCAGATGCCTAGGAATCCAAAGAGTTCCCATGCTCAGAAAAAAAAGAAATCACTCTTCTGCTTGGTATAGAAGGAGCAAGTGTTCATCCTAAAGTAATTCTACCAACATAAATTAGCAAAAGTAATCAGTGAACAGCCTAACGATGATGGGCCTATATGATTAAAGGCATTTAACTGTTTTGTGGGTGGTCATAGGAAGAGTAACTGTACCTTTAGGAGATGAGGACCAAATTATACTTATTTAAAAAAACAAAGAATTCCTATATGGCCTGCTTTTGTAGTGATCCATTCTTTTATATTCTACTGGAATTGAACGTACAAATTTATAAAGAAAAACCAATTAGTAATTTATTTTTATTTTACTTTATTACTAATCTATGGTGATTGCATTCTCCAGCCTTTCTGTCTTTAGGATACTGAGTAGAGATGCATACCTTCTTTGCTTTTCCTCCAAGTTAGCCATTAGCTTCTGGAATAAGAGAGTGTTCTTATCTTCTATAGGTTTTAGTATCTCTAGAAGTTCCTGCTTTCTTAACTTTAAATCTTCATTCAATTCCTTCAAGTAGTTGTTTTCTATTTTAGAATTTCTGTGGGAAGAGGTCCAATAATTTACCTTTAGCTTAGGTCAATAAAGACCCTTTTCCCCTCCTAGGTTGCTGCCATTGACTTCCCCCATGAAAGACTCACTTTTTTGAGGACAAGCAAGATTCTGAAGAGTTTGTGCCACTTGTCATCTTGAAGGGGAATTCCTAACGAGAGGCCCTCTTGAAAATATGCGCCTTCTCTCCCCAGCCAGTTAAGACATCATTTTGTGCTGCTGTTCTTGAAGCCCCTGTTGCATTGGACTGACTTTAGCTACAGCTCGAGGTCACAATAGCACCCAGACCACAACATCAGCAGATTGTAAGCAGCGTCAGAACTGCTTGGTGACTGAAAATACTGAACTATAGATGAGTTGTCTCAGGTTTAGCCAAATCCAAATCCCCACGTTTTATTCGGAAATCTTTTTCCAACATACCTGCATTATAAAACTACTGTTGGATTAGAAAATAGTGACTTATCAAAAAGAACTCGCCAACACCATGGTAATAAACCTCTGTGGAAAACCTGTCTGCTCAAATGCTGGATGCAGTGAATGAGGAAAAGCTGGAAAGATAACAGTACCTATCTCCAGGGGCTTGGCAAAGGAAAAGATACTTCTAACCAACACTTAAAAGTGGGCAGAGGTCAAACTGAGGAACACTGTGAGTGCAGTGGAGTAATAGATGAACTGCTGTCATTTCCCCAATCTCTAAAATTCCATTATATCAGCTGGGTGAGTCGCCCCTGTAATCCCAGCATTAGGGAGGCAGAGGTAAAAGGATTGGAAGCTCAAGGTGACCTTGGGCCGTGTAGCAAGGCTGTCCTTCAAAACTAACCCAAGTCAACACAAAACAAAACTTTGATATAAGGGACATATAGGGAAAGGATATAGTTTGGAAAGATCTACACCGTCGGGTGTCATCCCCAGCCAGATTCTTTTCTGGAAGGCTATATTTCCTAGGCTCACCTCCACAGATTGATTCTGTCTTTGTTATTATTCTACCTGCATTAGAATCACATATCTTTTGGACTCTTAAGATCGCCTTTCTTATCTATGTCACTTAGGAAGTAGGAGATAGTCCAAAGGATTATACATTTTTAAATGTGCCCTTTGAAAAAAGTTTTATGGATTCGTTTTTAGGCGCTATCAGATGTGACTTTAGTTGTGCTGTTTCATATACCGATGGACCATTACCAGCCTTTTCCTAGGCCTTTTCTCCAAAGTAATTTCAGTCCTTTGTCATTAGAGAAATTTGAAAGGCAAACTGTTGCTTTAGAAAAAAATGCAAGAACTTGATTTGGGCCTCAGTTTCACTGTGAGTGTGGCTGCCTGTCAGCAGGTTCCCAAGTCCTCTGAGCCTGATGAAGTTTTCACTTTTATAAAAGAATGAAATATTGACCTGATAAACTTGTGAAGGTGAAATGTATAATGTGCCTGGCTCATGTCAGGTGTTCGTTCACATTTAGTGAGATTTTGTTCAGTTTGGATTTTGTTCAGTTAATTGGCTAGACTTTTTTTTTTAAGTGGATGTGTGTGAAGCTGAATCACAAGAACCTTTCATTTCCAAGCTCTCTTCCAAAGGCTCTGAATCTGATTCCGAATTTAAAACTTTCACCCATTTTTTTTTTTTGGAAATAGAGATTTCTCCCAAATTGTGTATGATCAGAGTCCACAAAGTATGACTCTGCCCAGATTAGATAGGATACAAGCCTACCCTAAGCATCTTCTACATCAAAGTTTCTCTTAAGGCAGTCTTCACAAATACCTTTTCTAAAGTTTTCACATGTCACTTGAAGGTTATGTGAGACAGAAATATGATATTAAGTTAGAAAAGGCACAGCATGTTAATTCATGTTGCTTGCCCTAGGACTATCCCCAAACATTTTCAATAGGTAAAATGCTCACCGCTAAAAGGAGGTGGCGGGTGGGCTAGTTATTATTAATGGCATCCTAAACTACATGTGTGGCAGGTGGTAGCAAATAGTAAAGGACAAAAATGGCAGTGCTCACTGAAGCATAGCCTCTTTAAATTTCATGTTGTGACATTTGGCAGGCAGAACTGTGATAGAATATTAAAACATCTAATGGGCAGGCAGCATCCCAACTCACCTTCCTCTCTGCCCTTGCTTTGAATGACTCCAAGAGGAAGGACACTTGCTATTCTGATGGAGTCTTTTCGACAGCCAATCAGAGATGTTTATTTCCTAACATTCTGATTGTTATGCCTTCAACTTAGAGTATAAATTCCGAGGAGTATCTTTGCCTTATAATGATGTGCGTGGTTACTATAGTGATAAGATTTTTAACAAAAAGCAATCCTCCAAACCAGAAGCCAAGCAGTATCGATGGGGGCGGGGGGGTTCGTTGATGTTCTGTATAGAATCTAGTACAGGAAGAAGAGAGAGATGTTTTAGATGTTTGTTAAAGGTGGAGGAACTTGAAGTAATTTTTTCTGATGTAGAAAGCTAGATCATCTGCTGACTGGAAATGTTTGGTGGGAAAACTCTGGAAGAGTGATGGTGCAAGATTTGGAATGGCACCTGAGCAGTGAAAAAGTCAACCATGCAAGAGTTCAAAATATGCAACGCTTGTAGTGCAAAAGGTCAAGGTGAATTTGGAAGCTGAAGATCTGTCATGCTAGGAATCAGCAGTTACATAGTTTTACATCAGTAACTGGCAAACTGGAAGCTACAGTTGAGAAAAACATGGTGGATTCTGGGCTGGAACCTGGTAGAAGCAATAAGCAGAAATTCAAGGAAGAAGGGTTTGAGAATGTTGGTGAGAGTGTACATCAAAAGGTTTGCCAGAGTCTTTCAGGGTATTCAGGATACAAAAAACAGTATGATAACATAGACTGAGAGAGAACAAACGAGAAAGGAGATTGAGTGTAGGGTAGAAGAATAGAGGTTCGAGTCAATGGATGTACATCTTATGAAATGACTTGGGGAACTTCATCACCAGTTAGATAACCATAGTAGCAATCATGATGACTTCTGAAGTAACTTTGTATATTTTGCTTCCTATCACTGCATAATCACTGAAATTCATGTGGTATCTCAAAATAGGCCTTACAACAGGTTATTCACAATGACCTCATCCAATGTTATAGCTTTTGATTTTAGTATCTGTTAAGAAAAAGCGTGATTGCTCTATAATTAGAGAACTCTGAACCATTTTAGTGTTAGTTTTGCCAGCGGAAAGTCAAATTAGTCTAATTAAGTCAGGTCTCCAAAAGTAGAGGCAATTATTTTCATATTAATGCCAGAGATTAGGGGGAAAGGAAGAGGGAGAAAGGAAGAGTGGGAGGGAATTACATTTCTCTGTTGTTTATTATAATCATTATGTTGGCTCCTTACCCTTAACACTTATTTTTTTAAATAATTTTTTGGGGGGTTTGTTTGTTTTGTTTTGCTTTGGGACAGGGTCTCACTTGCCGTGGCTGGGCTGGAGCTCGATAATTAGACCTTGACAGACCTTGAACTCACAGAGATCCACCTATCTCTGCCTCCCAACTGTTGGAATTAATGCACCACAACAATCTTGTTTTTATTTTTAACTGTATGTATATGTGTGGGTATGTGCACATGAGTGTGGTTCTTGAAGAGGCCAGAAGAGGGCACTGAACCCCTTGGAGCTAGAGTTACTAGTGGTGATTAGCTGCCTGACCCAAATGTTGGGAACTGAACTTTGGTTCTCTGAAAGAGCAGTTTGCACTCTTAACCACTAAGCTAGCTCTTCAGTGCCTCCAACCCCTTACTTAGCTCTTTTTATAGTTGTCTCAACCTAGTCTGTACCTGCATTTAAAGAGAAACCAAGAACGTGGGATAGCTGAGATGAATTTCCTTTACTCTTGAGAGTTTTTGGTTGGTTTTTTAAAAGTAATACTTTGTCTTAATGTTTCCAGATTCTTGATATAATGGTCTTCAAATGAGTGTATGAATTTTCAGCTGGGTAATGATGGTTCACACCTTTAATATCAGCACTCAGGAGGCAGAGACAGGTGGATCTTTGTGAGTTCAAGGCCAGCCTGGTCTACAAAAGCTAGTTCCAGGACAGTCAGGGCTATTACACAGAGAGACCCTGTCTTGATAAACAAACAAAAGACAAATATATGAATTTTCACAGAGATTTTTCAAGACAAGTATAAGCAAGGGCTAGAAAATGGCTCAGCATGAAGATATGAGTTCAAATCTCAGAACCCATGTGAACATGGCCATGTGTGTATCTGTAAGATGTGGAGACAAAAGGATTGAAGTTGCTTACTGGTTTCCACAACAATTCCAATTCACTGAGAGATCCTGTCTCAAGGGAATAAGGCCAAGAGTAACAGAGCAGGACACTGGACATTCTTCTCCCGACCTCCAGTGCACAGATGTGTGTATCTGAATCCCTCTCCTCAACACTCACAAAGGAAGAAAGAGAAACAGAGAAGAAAAGGATATTTTTCAGAGAAGATTTTTCTGGATCCTCAATTTCCCCAAGAATTCCACACTACTATGGATGTGCCTGTGAGTACTTCTTAGTTTCATTTCCACCTCCCTTTCCAAGTGCATTTTGCTCACTTAAAGAGTGGAATGCATTGTAATCATCTTGAATCTTATTTCAATGACCTGCTTTGAGAGTGTGTAAAATTCTTAAAGGCATTCAAAACTTATAATGCAAATGTTGGTGTTGAAGCTAGTAAAAGAACCATTAGTGGACAGGAGTCTGGTTCCAGTTCTTTGTCCTCAGCAAAAATAAGAGATAGCTCATTGAATTGCCAGTTTAGGTTTATTAGAATTCAATTTTGATAATGAATTACTATTTGAATTTTGGCTTGTAATTCAGAAGGAGTTTCAAACACTTAAAAAATATTGCTATAATAAGTACCTTCTATTTTCATCTACTTACTTATATACAAGCTTTTCTCCAGTGAGGATTGAATGTAATAAAAACAATATGAATGGAATTGATTCTGAAAGGCTATCTTATTCAAGGAGTAAGTATAAATACATGGATTAAGCGTGGGGAAATGCTATCATATTAATAGAATTGTTTTACTTAGAAACTGTTTTTGAAATAGTCAAAACTTCTGTCACAAACATGTTATGTCAGAAACAGATTTGTGTCTTTCTACAATGTCAGAATTTGTTGAAGAATAATAAATTCCCAAACTACTTCAGTTTCCTTGGCTGTAGTTTGCCAAGTAGTCTCAATTTCTCTCGGTAGTTAGTCAGGGAATATACAGTTCTTGGATTTCAATCTTAACTATCAATGTCAGCTTTCAGATCATACATTGTGTGTTGCCCAGAAAATGTACTTCTCTATATATGGGGATGTAAGCTAAAAGATGGCTGCAGAGGGACTAAAGAGGCGGCCACAGAGTTCAAGGAGTTCCAGAGAAGCGACCTTACTGTAAAGAGAAGCAGGTTGATACAAATACAAAGAAACTCATTGCTGATGGTTAAATAAGTCAACAGACCCAGTTAAAGGACCTGCCACTGGGCCAGAGTTGAGCAGCCTGAGGATCCCGTAGAGCTATCTAAAAGTCAGACCATGGAGACTATAGAGCCACTGTACAAAACTGGATCCCAGACAGGTAGGCTGTATCAGCTGTGAGGACTGAACTAAAGCCTCAGAATAGTTGTGAGTCTTCTGCCTGTTGGTCCCTCAATGCACACATCACAGTGAGTTGGTGGGGACTCACTCTCTCTCTGGGTCCAGGTGAGTGTTACACACTTTCCTCAGTCTGATATGTTTGATACTAAAAATGGAGTAAAATGCTGCTTGTAACACGGGAGTCACTCGGGGCAAGCCTGAAACATCACTGTATGGAATATTTTAGAGCAGGAAGTAGTCTGATGTCAACATTTGACTGCTGGATGAGAGTCTATTAAATTTAGGTGTTGTCAGAGATGAGCTTGTAACATTCACTAAATATGAGTGGTTGTAAGAAACATTTATTTTTCTGCAAATTTGAGACAACCCTGGTCTATGTAGTTCTAGGCCAACCAGAACAACATAGTAAGACCATGTCTCAAAAAAGAAAAGAAAAACCTATTTGAAAATATCAATATTCTAAGATTTCAGAAATTATATTTTTGTACCTATTTAAAGTTAGAGTGAAAATATTTCATTCTTATTTTGCCATCAGTTTATGAGTGGGGGACTATGCCACAGAGAATATGTGGAGGTCAGAGAACAACTTCGTGGAATTGGTTCTCTTCACCCTCCCTTAGGCAGGTTCCAGGAATTGATCTCAGGTTCTCAGGCTTTCGTGGCAAAAGCTTTTACTTGTATAGTCTTCTTGACAGCCCTAAAATCAGACACTTTAGGTGTCAACTTAAAAACATGAGAAATGGTACCACTTTTTCCAAAATTTTCTGTAGCACCTAAGCAAAATGTCTTAGAGCCCCCTGCTCTCGGGCAGCAGTTCTCTGGCTCTGATGGGATTTAAGAATGCCCTGGGGGAACTTGGGAAAGCAGCAGATTTCCAGACTCAAGCCCCAGAGATTCTCACTGTGTGACTTTAACAAGCATTCCCTGGTGATTCTGACATGAATTCTGTGGACCTGTCTTCAGGAAAAACTGCCTCAAATTTTCTTCTTCGATCATAGTGAACTGGCAGAAAAGCAATGTAACTTCGGGAAGGTTTTTTTTTTTTTTTTTTTCTGGGTCTTCTGTAGAAGTGCTGCTTCTGAGTTTTGTGGTCTGTCAGACTTTCACCCTCCACTCCGAGGCCCTCAGAGCTCTGCTGCAATGGGAGGCTATTGCAATGAGGCTGCTTGTTGGTTCCCGACAGCTCGGCCCCAAAATAATCACACAGAAACTATGTCATTTAAATGACTGCTTGGTCCATTGGCTCTGGCTTCTTATTTGCTAATACTCACATATTAATTTAACCCATCTCCATTAATCTGTGCATCACCACAAGGTCGTGGCCTACCAGCAAAATTTTAGCACGCCTGTCTCTAGCTGTGGCTCCGTGGCTTCTCTTTGACTCCACCCTTCCTTCTCCCAGCATTCAGTTTAGTTTTCCCTGCCTAGCTCTGTTCTACCCTATCAGGCCAAGACAGTTTCTTTATTCGTCAATGGTATTCACAGCATACAGAGGGGAATCCCATATCAGGAGGTAGCCTTTCCAGCATTTGTAAAGAAAATTATTCAGGACATGATCCCATGTTGAGTTCTCCGTGGTCATCACTACTGCCCAT